AATAAAATTGTGTATCTGATTATATTTTCTTATGGAAACTTGGTCTGACAGTAAAAACATTGATTAAAAATCATAGACTCTAGACCTATTATTTCTATAAACTCCTTGTAAAACTCTGAGCCCATATAATCTTTGGCTACCTCAATTTCTCTGTTTATTAAAATGACTAGTTTATGTCTACCTCCTTTTGCTTCATAGAGATATTGTTGAAATATATAATGACTTGTTTCTGTCATTGGCAAAATACTTAAAAAGATTAATGTTAATAATTTAAGGTCAGATCTTAATTTCTCAGAATTAAAAATACACGTATCTTTTATACCCCAAAGGCATGTCAGTATATATGATTAATGACTAACTGAAAGCTTGAGTAATAGTTCAACAATAATGATAAAATCTTAAAAATCAGTTTGGGAAGAAATACTGTAAAAATCAGAGTAGAAAACTTACATAAGTTGAGAAATAACCAAAAATAAAATAAAAGGAAATAAAGAAAATACATGCACTAAAGCTTACAAAGTGCAAATATCTAAAATAGTCAAAAGAATTTATTAAAATATGTAAGAAAAATGCCAAGTCTCCAAAACAGCTATGAAACTAGGACATGAATAGGTAGTTCACACCAAAGAATACAAAAAAAAATAAACACATGGGGAAATGTTCAATCATGTAAGTATAATTGGGACTTGTATTGAATCAAAAGTTACTGTATCATTCTTTAGTATCAAATACTTCTGGTATATAAAAGTATATAGAATAACTAAATGAATGTTTTATGTACCCCTACCTTGCTTCAGAAATCACATTCTACCATTCCCAGTTTTTTTCATGATAACATGGTACTGACCAAGTAATGGTAAAATTACTGCATCATATACCATTGGTGTCTTGTAAAAAATAGCATCACTATTTTACATAGCAGTGTGGGAATGCGTGTCAGTAACTGTAAAAGCATACATACTTTTTATTGAAAAGTTCTCAGGGAAATGACTCTTAAAAGCATTTAGAAAAAATACTGTTCATTTTGGCCTAATCTATGCCCTTGAGAAATTGGAAATGACATATCCAGTGCTTTAGAAATAGTTAAGCAAGTAATGGTATGCATAGTTTTTAAAATATTTTTGGTGGTATTGGCAGTTGAACTCAGGGCCTCACACTTCTAGGCAAGCACTCTGTCACTTGAGCCATGCCCGATTCCTTTTGCTTTTAGTTTGCTTTTCAGATAGGATCTCTTCCTTTGCCTGGGTGACTTCAACCATGGTTCTCCTACCTTCGCCTTCCTAGTAGCTGGAATTAAGGACACGCACCATCATGCCAGACCCGCAACTTAATTTTTAATCATAAAAACTTGCTAAATTGAAAATTTGAATATTGCATAGCAAAGTTACTTTTACACACAATATAAAATTTTCTGTTTGATTCATTTTTAAGCATATAGTTCTGCAGTATTAAAGATATTCACAGTGTTGTGCAACCATCACCACTATCCATCTGCAGAACTTTGTTTGAAACTCAACCCATTAAACTATAATTCAACATTTCTTCTCTCTTCCAGCCCTTGGAAACCACTGTTCTACTTTTTGAATTTAACCATTCTAGATACAACCTATTAGTGGAATCATATAATATTTGTTCTTTTGTGTCTGGCTTATTTCATTTAGTTTAATCTCTGTTCCATCCATATATAGCATAGATCAGAATATCATCCCTTCTTAAGGTTGAATAATATCCAGTTGTGTCTATGTATCACGTGTTGTCTATCTGTTCTATCAATGTATGTTAGGTGAGCAATGCTGCTGTGAACATTGATGTACAAGTATTGGTATGAGTCCCTATTTTCATTTCTTTAGATACATACCCAGAAGTAGGATTACTGGATCAGATGGAATTCTATGTTTAATTTTTTCTTTTTTTCAGCCTGGAGATTGAACTGAGGGCCTCATGTGTGCTAGGCAAGCATTCTACCTCTGAACTACATCACCCAGCCCCTATGTTTAATTTTTTGAGGAATTATACTGTTTCCCACAGTGACTTTACCATTTTATGCTTCTACGAGCAACAGACAAAGGTTCCAACTTTGCACATACTCTCTAATACTTTCCTCTTCTCTTCTGTCCTCTCCCCTCCCATCCCCTCTTCTCTTTTCTTTTTTGATAGCAGCTAATCTAATGGGTATGAAGTATCAGAACCACAATGCTGTGGTTCTGATTTGCCTTTCCCTAATGATTAGTGATGGCTGAGCATCCTTTTAATGTGCTTAGTGGTCCTCTGTGTATCTTTTTTGGAGAAATGTCCACTCAATTCCTTTGCCCATTTTTAATCTGGTTGGCCTATTTCCTCAATTACATATATTTAATTTTAATTGGAATATAATGTACATATTTATGGGGTATAGTGTGATATTTTAATGCATTGGTACAATGTATCAAAGCAGGGTAATTGGTATTTTTGTTGTTGATTTTTAGTTCTTTATGTATTTCTGATTCTAATCTTTTTCATATATAATTTGCAAATAATTTCTTCTATTCTGTGGGTTACTTCTTCACTCTTTTGGTAATGTTCATTGATATACGATTGATGATGTCCAGTTTATCTAATTTACTTTTATTGCCTGTATTTTGGTATCACAGCCAAGATACCATTGCCAAACCCAGTGTCACCTTTCCCTTTATGTTTTCTTCTCAGAGTTTTATAGTTTTAGTACTTATGTTTAGATCTTTAGGCCATTTTTAGTTAGTATCTATAGACGGCCCAAAGGTAGGGACCCAAATTGATTCATTTGGTTATGAGTACCCAGTTTTCCCAGTCCTGTTTATTTAAGGAACTGTCCTTTTCCTCACTGAATGGTCTTGGAACCCTTGTTAAAAATCATTTGACCATTGATGCAAAGGTTTGTTTCTAGTCTATCCATTTGATTCTGTTGGTCTGTATGTCAGTGTTTATGCCTTTTCCACACCATTTTGATTACTGTAGCTTTGTAAGTTTTGAAATTAGAAAGTGTGAGTCCTCCAATTTGTTCTTTTTCAACAACAGAATATTTTGGACATAATATTAAGTTTAGACAGAAAAATATTAAATGGTGCTTATTAGTATATAAAAATAGGTTTCTATCTAGGTCAGTATTAAAAGGATTATATAAAAATCAGAGTAGGGTTGTAGAATTACGCAAATTTGTTTTCCTTTTTTTTTTTTGGTGGTGTTACTGGGGCTTGAACTCGGGGCCTGCTGCTTGCCAGGGAGGTACTCTACCACTTGAGCCTCATCTCCAGCCCTTTTGGCTTTAGTTATTTATTTTTGAGATAAGGTCTCACTTTGTGCCTAGGCTGGCCCAGTCCATAGTCTCTCTGTTTATGCTTCCTATGTAGCTGGGATGATAGGCATGCACCACTATGCCCAGCTCATATTGATGGAAATAGGTCTCATGAGCCCTTTGCCTACACTGGCCTTGAACTGGGATCCTCCAGATCTCCACCCACCAAGTAGGTAGGATCACAGGCTTGAGCCCCTATGCATGGTAGATTTTTTCCTATTTTAAATGTATTAAAATGTTAAAAAATAATTATGAGTTTTATAATAGAAAAATGTTGGTAAGTATATGTTAGGATAATTCAGACTTTAAAAAAGTGTTTGAGAAGTTAATCTCAATGTAAATTATTTTTGATCTTGCTTTTTCAGTACCAAACTAAATCTTTCTATAATGGATTAAAATATTTGTGATATTATTATTATAAAACTAATGCATACCTTTTGAGTAGTTATCAATGTTATTAAAGTCTCAAACTTGATATCTGAATGCCCTTACAGGTAATTATTCAAAATATTTCTTTATAAAGTCACTTCAAAGCCTCATTAATACTCTAGCTTTTGAAATTATGAGGAATAGAATAGAAATATGTCTTTCACTTTACAGGTAGGCAAGCTTACTATGATAAAGTAGAAAGCATTTTGCACACATCTATGTTTCTCATAACTTCAATTAAGAATCCTTTATTTTCTTCCCAATGTGCTACTTTCACATTTTGCTTATGAGATCCTACATAGACATTTAAACTCAGAATTGGAGAAGGGATTTGGCTAGGCCAGTACCGAGAGGTCTTTCTCCAAACTGATATTTTATATTTATCAACTTTTTTCTTTTTCTTCTTTCTTTTTTATTAATTATTTTATTTTTTGTGGAACTGGAATTTGAACTCAGGACTTCATGCTTACAAAGCAGGAGCACTCCCACTTGAGCCACACCTCCAACCTTTCTTTCTTTTTTAATGGAGTTTATATAACCCAGGCTAACCTTGAACTTGTGATCTTCCTGTCTCAGCTTCCCAATTGCTGGGGTTATATGCATGCACCATCATTCCTATTTTATCAGCGTATTTCTAGTATCTGTGAAACTTTTATTCAGTGAAACATTTACTTTGGTTGTTGTATACTTTACCTTTAAATGCAGAATCCTATCACATTTTCTTTAAATGTATTTGTTTTATCAGTTCTTGTTTATCCTTACCATGCTCCTAACATTAATCTCACCCAAATTATTATAGCAACAGATTTATTACTTTGCTTCAGTTTTCACTTTCATGAATTTTAATTTTTGTTATTTATTCTCCATTTTGCATTTTTCTGACTTTTCATTATCTGAATTATATTGATCCTTCATGGTATAGTTTATCAATTATCCACTTAGTTTATATCAATGACCCCCATCAATCAGACAATGAATACTTGTCGAGTACCTATGATGTGCTGGGGTCCCTATTGTTGAAACTGGGATTATAGTATTTTTGCATATCTAATTCTCTTTTTTTTGTTCCAACCATACATATATTGCTTCCAGTTATATCTGATTTGTGTCATGCCTATTCTTTACCTCTCATGTTACACATTCTTAGAGGGCAGTAACTATATTTGACATCTTTTATTTCCTTTTTAGATTTCTCCTACTGCTTTGCATGTGGGAAACACTTAATAAATGTTATTTGAAAATAATTTTCACTTCATTTCAGGATTGGCAAAGTGTACAGTCAAAAGGCTGCTTCTTTTTAGAAGAAGATGGTGAAATCATTAGTCATCAGTACAAGATGCAAATAGTTCAAAGGTCCATGGTTTATCTAACAATTAAGCCATTAAACCTGAGTCAAGTTGAAGGCAAGTTTAAATTTTATGTTTATCTTTAAATATCAAATATCACTTCTTCGAAAATAGCTGTGTATGTATATAATAGTCTTATTAGTGAAGAAAATAATCTATGTAAAAATGTGTGGTTACATTTCAAGAAAGAAAGTGTTTATACATTGATTGTATTATCCTATTATCAAAGCAAGTGAATTGCTTTGTGTATGCATTTAAAGCATGTTTTATTAAAAACATAAGCAAAGTGTTACTTGGATTCTGATATAACAACATCTTTATTTTCCAATTAATCTTAGCTTTTTCTACTTACCTCTTTTTAAATTAATATTTCTAAGAGAAGTTCTATGGAAAAATAATTTGGGATATGAACCTACAAGTTTATTTTAATATCTTCAAAGTCTGTGTCTGCGATTGAGGCAATCTTTATTAATAATCTTTGCATTCGTGGTTGTATTCATTTCTAGATAAAAATTAATTTCCTACTATCTAAAATGGTTATTATGTCATTTTAATTAGTTAAAGATGTCCGAAGGGGTGCTTCCCTCAGATATTCTTTTAATGTTGGTTACTCTAAGTCAGTCTTTTCTTTTATAATTTTTTATGTAAATATTTTCTCGTGCCCAAAAAAACTAGACATTTTCAAAGTATTCACTGCATGTCTTATAGGATACCTAGATAATTTGGTAGCCGACTTTTTAAATAACAGTGATAGTACTAGGTTTTCAGAGAGGGGAATCAAAATAGCTGTGTATGTTCAGTGCTAATTTTCTGTATTTTTTTTTGGCAGTACTGGAGTTTGAACTCAGGGCCTAATGCTTGCTAGTCAGGCACAATTCTCTATATTCTGGTAAAATTCTTTTATTTGTTTATTTATCAAGTATTTATTGAAAGCCTTACATATCAAATATCAATTTAGGTATTTAGGATATATCAGAGTACAAAAAAGACAAAAAAAATACCTTCCCTCATGAACTTACATCTTAATGGAAGAAACAATAAATGATAAATATAATAAATAGTAAATGAGCCAAGCATGATATTATACCCTGTAACATCAGTACTCAGAGGCTGAGATTGGAGGATGAAGATTGGGCTACATCATGAAATTCTATCCCCAAAATAAATAAATAAATACTAAATGACATGGTATGTTACAAAGTGATAAGTGGTGCAGGGCCAGGCATAGTGATCATGTATGTAATCCCAGCTACGCAGGAGATGGAGATAGGAGGATCACAGTTCAAGACTAGCCCAGGCAAAGTTAGCAGACTATCTGAAAACAAAAGGACTGAAGATATAAGACCCTAAGTTCAATCCCCAGTACCACACACACACACAAAGTTCTTAAGTACTTTAGGACAAAACAAAGAGGGACCCAACTGTGGGGTGACGCACAGTTATGATCACTGTAATCCCAGCATTTGGGGGGCTGAGGCAGGAGGATTTTGAGTTCAAGGTCAACCTGGGCTACAGAGTGAATTCCTGGTCTTCCTGGACTACATAATGAGAGACCCTGTTTAGGGATGTGGGGAGAGGAAAGAAAGAAAAACATAGAGGAAAAAGGGACTGTGAATACAAATTGAAATTGGGTCTTTAATATTTGCTTCATTAAGAAGGTAAAATATAAGAAAGACTTTGAAAAAGGGCATATTAATTAACAACTTCTGCTTAAAAGAATATCCCAAAACTCAATGACTTGAAACAATTAAACTATTTGTCTGTTCATGATCATAGGTCTGCTAGACAGTTCTTTTGATCTGAGCTAGGTTTGGTTTTTCCTGTGAGGCGTGTCACACATATGTGGTCAGATACAGGTTAGCTGGTGGCTGGCTTTGCTCATTTTAGCTGAGTTCTCACCTGTGGGTGGGGTCTTTTTAGCTGGTACAACTTAGTGCTGTATCATATGGTCTCTCATCCACCAGTAAACTAGCCTGCTCTTGTTCTCATGGTGTAATAGAGATTTGAACAAAAAACCCAGAAGCACAGTAGGATCTCCTCAGGTCAGGGCTCAGAGCCCACACAAAGTTACTTCTGTTACATTCTGTTCACAACACTTCACAGGCAAGTGCAGATTAGTAGGGTGGGAAAGACAGACTTGATCTCTTGATGAAAGGCCTGTAAAATCACATTATAAAGGACTGTGAATAAAGAGAGGACAGACATTTTTGCTGTCTTCTGCAGAAAACAAGAGAATAAGCTTTGTAAGCACAGGAACTGTAGGGAGTTAAGAAAGTGGAGGAGATGGCAGAGCATTCCAGATAGAGAAAATATCCTGTGTAAAGGTGAGAGTGTTCTGGCATATGGAATATACACACACAGCTAGAGTATATGGAATGGACTAGTAAGGATAGTAGAAGGTGAAGATGGGAGGGAATAAGAACTTGGTAGAGAATTTTTTTGCCATTGTGAGGACTCAGGTTTTTACCAAAGAAAATAAAGTTTTCCTGTGGTAGAGTGAAGATTTTATCTTGGATTTTTCAAGTAGCTTGAATTTGTGTCTAGGTTTTTTTTGTTTTGTTTTTGTTGTTGTTTATGCTATTGTTGGTGGGTTTGTTAGTTTGGGCTTTTATCCTGGATAGGGTTCTCTGATCTTGAATTTGTGCCTTGTTGACTTTCATTATTTTTAGAAAATCTGCCTTTATTTTTTCAGATTCTTCTGTCTTCTTCTTCCACTGGTATGATCTTTCACATGTCTTTCTCCTATATTCCAACACAGATAAGCCAGTGCTTACATCCTGTTCTCCTTGGAAAAGTTGCCTTTCAGTCTTTTTAGTTGCTCTGTATCTTAGCTCTGATGGATTTCTGAAAAGTTATGATTTTGTAGCTCATCCACTTTTTCTTATTGATACACTAACACACTTCCAACTCTTTACTCCACTAGAGGATTTTGAGTAGAGATAGGATATAATCTGACCTATAGTTTAACAAGATCAGCAAGAGCAGTCAGATTGGTCTACTCACCACTGAAAAGTACTCAAGAGAAAACAGAGTCTAGCTGGGGATGCTATTGCAGAATTCTAGGAAAAGACTGGCAATGCTTTGAATTAGGGTGTAGGCAGGAGAGGAGATATTTGAGATTCTGGACACATTTTGAAAGTATAACCATAGGATTTCCTGAAGAATGGTTTTCATGCATGAGAGAAGAAGAGAGTTAAAAGGTGATTCCAAGATTTTAGGACCAAGCAAATGACACAGAGTATAGATGGATAGTTTTTTTAGGGTTAGGGGAGTCCAGTTTTTGAAATAGAAATTTAAGTAGAAATGTCAAATAGGCAGTTGGTTATATGGGACAGAAATTCAGAGGAAAGATCCTAACTGGAGATAGGAATTTTGGGTTTGTGAACATATAGATGGTTTCTTCCTCCTGTGACCCATCATAGGTAGCCAGTGCTACCATCTCTGCCAGAATTTCAAGCTACTCAGTTTCCCTGCAACTCAGGTTTTTCTTTGTTTATTTGTTTGTTTGTTTGTTCATTTGTTTGTTTTTTGGCCTTACTAGGGATCCAGCCAGGGCCTCATACCTGCTAGATAAGCACTCTCTACCACTGGGTCATAACCCCAACTCTTGCAACTCAGCTTTTGATGAGTTCAAGAACAGTTAGGATTTTTAGAAAGTGAGTATGTAGAATGTAGAAAGTGTTTCTTAAAGGTTGTGTATAGCACATGGCTTGTTGCAGATATTAAGATGTTTACATATAAAATGGGATGTGTATTTCTTCTTAAAAATCTAAGGGACAAAGAAACCACTAACTTCTTTTTTAAATAGAAAGAGTAAATAGTGACTGCTTATTTTAAAGTGTTGGGTTTTTGTTGTTGTTTTTTTATAGGAAAACTATCCCCTTGGTTATCTATTGATACTGCCCTATATATTCTTAAGGAAAATGAAAATCAAGCAAATCTACAGCTCATATGTTGTACGGAACTGCGAAATAGAGAAGTATACATATTTATTTTTTAATGTTTAATTTAAAAATATAGTATGAGCTCAAGTTTGTGGAAAATTTTAGTTTTTCTATATTTTACTTTACTTTTTAAACTCTCCCTTCCAATTGAGGTATATGCAATACTTAAATAGTATGGATTTTTATACATTTTAAAATAATTATAAAAGATTTTTCTTGCTTGCTGAGATTTCTAAGGATTGAGGATTGACTGACAGCTTTAGCTTCATAAGGTACAGTTTTTTAACACTGTATTTTACTTTCCTGTTCTCTAAAAGCCTTGGTGCCTCACATGTGAGCATTTTTTTCATTATACTCAATAAAAAAAGATTAATGCCAGTAGATTTCTCCCCCTACCACCACCTTAAATACAAGCAATTTCAACTTTGGAAAAGTTGCTCTAGATGTTTCTCTTACTTACAATATTGCTGAAAAACAGAAAAACTTCAAGATTCCTATCCTCAGGCTTGACTCATAGAGTTCAAAAATAGATAAGAAGAAATGCTTTTAAATGTTTTTATATGTTGCCCTTGGGGTTGTTCTGGTCTTTTCTAATTATATATTTACTCAGAGGCCAAATATGTGAAGCAGATACCTAAATGTGGCTATTTATTTTATGAGAACTACAAAATACATCTGCTACACAACAACAGAAATAATACTATTCGAGGGCTTACTGCAAGATCATATTTAATCTTTATATAGACTCAACGACAGACAAACATTTCCCTGATGGAATGTTATATAAAAGTCTTTATTGTAGGCTTCCTAACAGACGAGGATAGTTATAGGCAAGAAACAAATAAAATGGCAGAAGTTAATGTTTAGCCTAAACTCTTCTTCAGAACGACTACAAAGTTAAGTTCAAGATAAAGCATTGTCTAAAACAATAGGTTTTCCTATTTGGTTTTGAACAAAATTACTTTCTTATGAGTTTGCACGTGTAAAAAAAAGTACCTAGCAAGACAGTAATAAAGTTTGAATGAGTTTCTATTTACCTCTTTCCTATACAGGCTTCTGTTTATCTGTAATATGTCATATTTACAAAGGAGTTTTTATTTATGTTTTCAGTTTTACAATTTTAGAAGTTTTGTACTCATGAAAAACTTCCCCATTTGCCATCCACAGTGGCAATTCAAGGATATATGTGGAGAATGAGTGGTTCATGGGATAACATATATTAGGAAGCAACAAAATCTGGTCTTTTCAGTCTCTATCTGGCCAATCTAATCCATGCCAAAGCATGGATTTGGTAGCTTAGTCTTCAAAATGACCCTTGGTTAATTGGATTGCTTCTTGTATCAAAAGAGGATGTGGTAACCTTAGTAAGAGTATGGTTTTTCTGACTAATTAGGGCAGAAATACTACTGAACCCAGAATTCAGAGGAGAACTTTGTTTTGTATATAAATCTCCAGGACCTAACATATACCTAGGCTTTGAAATAAATATTTGGAACAATACTTGACCAAATTCCCTTGGGCTAGACTGTGCTGAAGGCAAATAACTGTGCTTAGTTATTTAGCACAACTAGAAAACTATGTAGATTTAATATATTTAAAGATAACCCCTAGTTTTTATATGAAACATTTGGGCTCCTGAAAGCTCCTAGGTGGTACGTAGAGGTGATACCATTTGCTTTCTTTTATAGAACAGGAAAATAACATGCTTTTGTCCTGAAGCTCATTATAAATATCCAACATCTGATAGGAAACAGAATTTTATATAAGGCAGCTTGACCTAGGATCCTGCATCTTGTTTTATGGTCCGTATTATGTAAATAGCAGTAAAACTATAATGTATGTAATTAGGCTCTTACAGATATGTTTAATTCATGCAAATAATGAACTGTTAAATATGTTTAATTTTTATTTTGTGACATTGAAATCTGATTTACAAATCATAAATTTTGATCCTAGTAAGAAACCATAACCTGTAATGCTATTACGTTTCTTTAAGAAGCTCAGTGTTCACATAAAAAATCCTAAAATTAATCTCTTTGCTTCCTGATGAAAATGTTCGCATCACAAATGTTTTTGAAGGTTATTGGGGATAATTTAGAAAATATGTAATTTCTTACCTACTTTTAGGTAGTTTTAAATATATATATGATTCTACATCTTATGGTTTTATATGATTAAGAAAAGAATTTGATAGCAGAGTTGGTTAATATTGATTTAAAAAATCATTTCTAATGTTTCTCTTTCAGAAGAAAGATTAAAAGTCATTAAGACTCGTGGTTGTTTTGTTTTGTTTAATTCTTTTGAGAAAAGGTATTTGGGTGGACTGGTGAACTAGAACCTGGAGTTTACTGGTTAATTCCTTCCACAACTGGCTGTAGGCTAAGGAAAGAAATAAAACCAACAACAAAAGAAGCTCAACTTGTATATAGAGATGAAACAGGGGAATTATCTCTCACAAAGGAATTTAGGTAAGCATTTTTTATTAAAGTTAGAACTATAACAGGTAAACTGGATATATGTATCAGCAGCCTATCTTCCCCCATTTCCTTTGAGTAGCTCCCACTCCCATCCTCATGTTTTAATACATAAAACAACTCTTTAATACATAACTCAACTCTTGTGACAACATAGATGAACCTGGAGGATATTTTACTAAAAACAGAAGGCAGGCTCACAAACACAAATACCTTCTGATCTCACATATGGGTGGTAGAATATAAAAAGCCTAAATTCAAGAAATGGACAATAGAATGGTAGTTACTAGGGGCTGGGGATGTAGAAAATTTGAGGAGATGTTAAGTTCAGAATATTATAAAATATGAAGTCTGTAGTTAATACCAATGTATAGTAAACTAGAAAATTGCTGAAGGAGTAAAATGTGAATGTTCATACCAATTTCTCCTCTTCTAGACACCACTTTTAAAATAGATCCTCTAGTTATACTCTTGATTTTGATAACTGTCAAATATGAAATCCAAAACTCATTCTCCTATGCCGTAGAAGTACACAGTGAGATGTGGCCACAGATAGAAAGAAGACAGGAGGTTGGAGAAATGGAGAAGGAAGAAAGGAGCTAGAGCTGCTCATAACGTTGTGTTGTATTGTGCTATTGTTGCTTTAGAAACTTGCTTATCCCATGTAATAATAGACTGATCTACAGTATTTATTTGGATACATTACAGTTCACAAATATTGTTAAATTCAATAATATTACTTTGAAAGTTATCCTCATAAATCTGTCTTCAGTCTAGTTGTTTTAAAGATAAGAAATCATTTTCTATTTTTATAATTTAGGTCAACTTTATCTGATATTTTTGAAGTAATTGATTTAGATGGAAATGGTCTTCTTAGCCTTGAAGAATACAATTTTTTTGAATTGAGAACAAGTGGTGAGAAATGTGATGAAGATGCTTGGGCTATCTGCAGAGGTAAGCACTTGTTTTCCCTTGATGGATGTGTAGAAAAATATGTCATCCTTTTATTCCTAGAAAGTAAGAAGTCAAACTTCTCCTTCATGGAATCTTATTATAGTTTTTAGAACAGTTTAAAAATAGTAGCATCATTTTAGGTCCTAAATATGAACATTTATTTTCTTTGAACGGATAGTGTAGTACTCAAGTTTTTAACAAAGCGAAGGCTGGACATGTGGTGGATGTCTGCAGTCCTAGTTACTTGGAAGGTGGAGATCAGGAGGTCCCGAGCACAAAGTTAGTAAGACAACATGTCAAGTAACAAGCTGGGTGGTACACCCATGATCTCAGCTCCTTGGAGGCATAGGTAGGAATATCAGTCTGAAGCTGACCCCAGGCAAAAACACAAGACCCTATCTGAAAAATAACTTAAGTAAAAATGGCTGAATGTGCAACTGAAGTGGTGGAGCCCCTGCCTCTCAAGCACAAGGCCTTGACTTCAAATCTCAGTATTGCAAAAAAAAAAAAAAAAAAAAAGGGAATTACTTAATTGTAATTTCAGTTTTCAGCCTCTGTTCTTCGGGCCTTAAAAGATAGCTGTCCTAGCTCTAGCACTGGGCTACACACTATGCTCAGGAGAGGGTGGCAAAGAGTTAATAAGCTATAGTTTTACAAAAAAAAATTATGAAATTTCTATCCATTAAGAATTCTTAATTTTTTTTGTATTTGTGTTGAATTAAGAAAGTCCATCCATGGAGATGCTAATGCTACAATAGACATTCTCATTGAGACTGAGGCAGTCATTTGTCTCCTAGGAGGACTCTAGTGTGAGGGTAGGGCCTGTGTGGTTAAAACAAGGACTGAAAGTCAAAGGGGAAAACTAAAAAGCCATAGCCAACTATAGATCACAGAACAAGAAGGATGATGAGGCCAGAATGCAGTCAGAAGAGAGACTAACTCTCTTATGCTTCTTAAAATGGTCTTAGTAGAGTCAGTGAGCCAGGTGGAGTCTGATAAATCTATTTATCCAAACAGCATGTAGGGAAAAACACATTCAAGTTTTTTAGTATATTTTTAACTGGAAGTTTAATATAACTAATAATAAGAACTGTATGTTTATAATATTAAACTTTGATTAATAAGATTGATGATATATGTAATAGAGTATTATCTATAAGATATAATTAATAACCTTAATAATACAGTCTGATAAAAGCTCTAAGAAAACTAGGAATAGAAGGAAAGTACTTCTACATTATAAAATCTATATATGACAAACCTACAGCCAGCATTATACTTAACGGAGAAAAACTGAAACCATTCCCTCTAAAATCAGGAACCAGACAAGGATGCCCACTATCTCCACTCCTATTCAACATAGTACTGGAATTCCTAGCCAGAGCAATTAGGCAAGAAGAAGGAATAAAAGGAATACAAATAGGTAAAGAAACTGTCAAAATATCCCTATTTGCAGACGACATGATCCTATACCTTAAAGACCCAAAAAACTCTACTCAGAAGCTTCTAGACATCATCAATAGCTATAGCAAGGTAGCAGGATATAAAATCAACATAGAAAAATCATTAGCATTTCTATACACTAACAATGAGCAAACGGAAAAAGAATGTATGAAAACAATTCCATTTACAATAGCCTCAAAAGAAATCAAATACCTAGGTGTAAACCTAACAAAAGATGTGAAAGACCTCTACAAGGAAAACTATATACTTCTGAAGAAAGAGATTGAGGAAGACTATAGAAAGTGGAGAGATCTCCCATGCTCATGGATTGGTAGAATCAACATAGTAAAAATGTCAATACTCCCAAAAGTAATCTACATGTTTAATGCAAATTCCCATCAAAATTCCAATGACATTCATTAAAGAGATTGAAAAATCTACCATGAAATTTATATGGAAACACAAGAGGTCACGAATAGCCAAGGCAATACTCAGTCAAAAGAACAATGCAGGAGGTATCACAATACCTGACTTCAAACTATATTACAAAGCAATAGCAATAAAAACAGCATGGTACTGGCACAAAAACAGACATGAAGACCAGTGGAACAGAATAGAGGACCCAGATATGAAGCCACACAACTATAACCAACTTGTCTTTGACAAAGGAGCTAAAAATACACGATGGAGAAATAGCCTCTTCAACAAAAACTGCTGGGAAAACTGGTTAGCAGTCTGCAAAAAAAACTGAAACTAGATCCATGTGTATCATCCTATACCAATATTAACTCAAAATGGATCAAGGATCTTAATATCAGACCACAAACTCTGAAGTTGATACAGGAAAGAGTAGGAAATAACTCTGGAGTTAGTAGGTATAGGTAAGAACTTTCTCAATGAAACCCCAGCAACACAGCAACAATACAAGTGTGAACCCTAATATATACTGTGGAGTCTTAGTGAATAATAAGTACCAGTACTGACTCATTAGTTATAACAAACATAACATACTAATTGAAGATGTTAATAAGGGAAATCATTAAGCACTAACTTGTACTATAACAACCCCCAATAATTGTGCAAATATATTCTGTTCTGCCACAAAACAGAATGTTGTGATAAGCATTTGGTTCTCCAGCTCAAGCTCTGTTTATCACTATTTTTATTTTAGTCCTTATAACAACAGAGTAATCTTTTTTTTTATTTTATTATTCATATGTGCATATAAGGCTTGGGTCATTTCTCCCCCCTGCCCTCACCCCCTCCCTTACCACCCACTCTGTCCCCTCCCTCTCCCCCTCACCCCCTCAATACCCAGCAGAAACTATTTTGCCCTTATCTCTAATTTTGTTGTAGAGAGAGAGTATAAGCCATAATAGGAAGGAACAAGTGTTTTTGCTGATTGAGATAAGAGTAGCTATACAGGGAGTTGACTCACATTAATTTCCTGTGCAGGTGTGTTACCTTTTAGGTTAATTCTTTTTGATCTCACCTTTTCTCTAGTTCCTGGTCCCCTTTTCCTATTGGCCTCAGTTGCTTTTAAGGTATCTGCTTTAGTTTCTCCGCGTTAAGGGCAACGAATGCTAGCTAAGTTTTTAGGTGTCTTACCTATCCTTACCCCTCCCTTGTGTGCTAAAGCTTTTATCATGTGATCAAAGTCCAATCCCATTGTTGTGTTTGCCCTTGATCTAATGTCCACATAGGAGGGAGAACATAGGATTTTTGGTCTTTTGGGCCAGGCTAACCTCACTCAGAATGATGTTCTCCAATTCCATCCATTTACCAGCGAATGATAACATTTCGTTCTTCTTCATGGCTGCATAAAATTCCATTGTGTATAGATACCACATTTTCTCCCAGTGGCTTGTGGCATCTTGTCTGTTTCCATAACTTGGCTATTGTGAATAGTGCTGCAAAAACATGGGTGTGCAGGTGCCTCTCGAGTAACCTGTGTCACAGTCTTTTGGGTATATCCCCAAGAGTGGTATTGCTGGATCAAATGGTAGATCAATGTCTAGCTTATTAAGTAGCCTCCAAATTTTTTTCCAGAGTGGTTGTATTAGTTTACATTCCCACCAACAGTATAAGAGGGTTCCTTTTTCCCTGCATCCTCGCCAACACCTGTTGTAGGTGGTGTTGCTAATGATGGCTATTCTAACGGGTGAGGTGGAATCTTAGTGTGGTTTTAATTTGCATTTCCTTTATTGCTAGAGATGGTGAGCATTTTTTCATGTGTTTTTTGGCCATTTGAATAGGTTTTGACAAATATATAATGTTACATATCTACCATCACAGTATTATACAGAATAGTTTCACTGTCTAAAAATCCCTTTGCTCCATCTATTCATGTACCTGTTTGTACCCACAACCCTCTGGCAATCAGTAAACTTTTACTGTCACTATAATTTTGCCTTTTTCTAAGTTGTAGAGTGGATTAACACAATATGTAGTTAATCAATTTGTTGTCAAGAGTTTGGGATTTTACACATTTAAATAAGTGTGTAATTGTATCTCGTTTTAATTTGCAATTCTGTAATATGTGACATAGAGCATCTTTTCATGTCTATTTGCCATTTCTGTATCTTCTTTGGCGTGGTATTTGTTTAGAACTTTTGCCCATTTTTTTCCTTTATTGTTGCAGTGGGTGGGGGTGCACTTGTGGCATTTACACAGGGGCTTACAATGTATCAAATATATCATACATGAATTCACCTCCTCTGCCATTCTCCTTCCTACTCCCTGATTCCTGGAGTAGTTTCAACAGGTATCATTTTTGCATTTATTTACGTGTGTAACATTTTTCACACCAGATTCACCTTCTTTGCACCTTTCCCCAGCACCTCCCCACCCCAACAGGGGCCAGCCCTACCCCTTGGGCAGGACTTGCCCCATTTTTAATTGAGATACTTGTCTTCTTATTTTTGAGCTCTGAGTTCTTTGTGTGTTTTGTTTTGTTTTTTATTGTTTTATTATTCATATGTGCATACAAGGCTTGGTTCATTTCTTCCCCCTGCCACCACCCCCTCCCTTACCACCCACTCTGCCCCCTCCCTCTCCCCCCCACCCCCTCAATACCCAACAGAAACTATTTTGCCCTTATCTCTAATTTTGTTGAAGAGAGAGTATAGGCAATAATAGGAAGGAACAAGTGTTCCTGGTTGAGATAAGGATAGCTATACAGGGAGTTGACTCACATTAATTTCCTGTGCATGTGTGTTACCTTCTAGGTTAATTCTTTTTGATCTAACCTTTTCTCTAGTTCCTGGTCCCCTTTTCCTATTGGCCTCAGTTGCTTTTAAGGTATCTGCTTTAGTTTCTCTGCGTTAAGGGCAACAAATGCTAGCTAATTTTTTAGGTGTTAATTAACACCTAAAAGGGTGTTAGCTAGTTAATTTTTTGGATACAAATCCTTTATTAGATGTAGATTTTGTAAGCATTTTCTCCCAATGGCTTGTGTTTTCACTCCTAACAAGTGTCTTTCACAGAACAGAAACTTTAATTTTAATGAAATCTCACTTCAGAAATTGTTCTTTTCCTGTTTATACTTTTGATGTTGTATCTAAAAACCTCATCACCAAACCCAAGTTTGCCTAGATTTTTCCTATGTTACCTTCTAGAAATTTTATAGTTTTATGCTTTACATTTGAGTGTGTGGCCCATTTTAAGTTAATTTCGTGAAAAGTATAAGGTCTGTGTCTAGATTTATTTATTTATTCATGTGGGTGTTCATTGTTTCAGTACCATTGTTGAAAATACTATCCTTTCTCCCTTGAATTGCCTTTTTTCTCTTTTCAAATATTAGTTGTATGGATGTATTTCTGGGTTCTCTGTTTTGTTCCACTGAATATTTGTCAGTTCTTTCACCAATACCACACTCTTTCTTGATTACTGTGGCTTTATAATAGGTCTTAGAGTCAGGTGTTTATAAGCTTTTTTGAGGGGCAGTTCTGGGGTTTGAACTCAGAGCCTCATTCTTGCTCTACCACTTGAATTATACCCCCCAGTCCCACGTGTTAATAAACTTTTAAAAATAATTAGGATTGAGAATTTTAAGTTTCAAAAGTCATTTAGTTATTACTAATTCCATAGTTCAGCATTAAGACACATTTTTCTTTAATAATTTCTTTGTATTATATATCAAATATTATTTTTTCTCTATGTAGATAGCACCAACCTTCATTTAAATAGCTCCTGTTTCTCTCCATGGTCTTATTTAATCTGCATATATTTTTTCCTTATAAAAGTTGTGAATCCTTTCACTTACATATATTTTTAACTGTTAATCAGTCAACCCACTATAGGTAGGTCTCTGTTGCTTTTCTCACCATAATATGTACAAAAGTGCTATCTCAAATAAGGTTGCCCATTTTCTTTGAATATAATACAGATGGGAATTGAGAAACAAAATTTTTCTTGTTATAGTGCAGCTACCAAAATGTAATCCATAAAATGACTACTTATTACCTATAGACATATCCAGGACTAATATGATATAGACAAATAGCCATATTATAGACAAATTCAGGAATTGTATATGGCTACATATTTTCAGGTTAATTTAGTTTTGCTCACAAGTAGTGTTAAAATGGGCATACTCAGGCTTGCCTGGGAACATATAATTCTCCAGTATCTAACAATTTTTTAAGGACCAAGGGATAATTCAGTTAAAAATTAGAGTGATTAGGCATAATCTAAATCCAGCACTAAATCTACTCCCTTTGTGAAATTCCAGTAGTTTGGAGGATATTAAATCAAATGCATTCAAGTTCTTCTGGTTTTAAGGGGAAGTATATGTAATATACTATAATAAATATTTATTTATTTATTTTTGTTATTATTATTTTTTTTGGTGGCACTGGAGTTTGAACTCAGGACTTCATGCTTGCTAGGCAGGTGCTTTTACTGCTTGAGCTAGTCTGCCAGCCCTGAAGCATTTTAAGTTTTTGAAATATCAGTATAAACTCTGAATAAGTAGGCAGGATGTAATTTATCCAGAAAAAATTATAATTTCTTCTAATTTTAGAATGTGTTTGCATTATTTATAACTTCAAGATTTGTTGAAAAAAAATCATGTACCATGATTGTGCTTACACTGAGTTGTGGGAAATCAAAAAGAGTATCTCTCAAGCATGTTTTAAGATATTCTTATTCTACTTGTAGACTTCTTTCAGAGTTATAAGGCTTCCTTAAGATAAACATTTATGAACAATATAGACATTTTATTAAATGTATGCATTGTTAAGTTATGTATTAAAAACTTGTGGTTGTTTTAACAGATAATTTTGATACAAAGAAGAATGAATTAACAAGACAAGGATTTATGGATTTGAACCTAATGGAAGTCAATGATCGAGAAGGAGATCCTCGTGACCTTTGGGTAACTCTGCACTCAATGGGCTACAATAAAGCTCTGGAGTTGACAGAGGTACTGCATTCTTAAAGTTTTTCCGAAGAGTTGGTGGTCATGATATTTTATGCCTTTTCTTACCTGAAATTTAGATACTGCCAACTATTTAAATAATTCAGAAGCAAAGAGTTTGAATACATGATATGCAGGGAAAATTGGTAATTAAAATATATACTCTTTAATTGGAAATGGCTGTTTGAATTGCTAAAATTTCATTTATGTAGGGAAACTTTTGTCTTAACAGAATAAAAGCTCTCCTAGAAAGAGGATTTCTTGTATCTCTCTGTGTGGCACTTCTTGGGTTAATGTGTGTCAGACACTTGAAACAGTGACTGGCTCATACAGAGCACAGTGTGTCACGCAGCAACTGTCATTATAGTCGCCATTATTAACATGAGAGCTATAAAACCAGAGGGGTAAGAAAAAGTAGCCCTTCTTCAATTCCATCTTTGTTAAGTTTAAATACAGAATTTAAGAGTTTCAGTTAGGTAGCAATATATTTTATGCTCTTAAA